CTTGCTGCTGCCGTTGCTGTATCTGTCTGTTCATGATTTATGTTGTCTCGCCTCGGAGCCTCAAAATCTTCAGAACCTTCAACTTTTTGCGCTCGAAGCGCGAAAAAGAGGCAAATAGTGGTTGAATGGATGGAAACACTACTCTTGTGAGTCGATGCAGTTCTGTGCACTTGTTATGGAGTTAACCTTTCATTCAAGTGCAACCACATGCAAAATTTTAAGGTATATATATATATGGAGATTTAACAACAAAAATCACAATGGAAAAACCATGCCAGAAGAACATGCAAAAAGTTGAAGTGATTTGCTTAGAAAGTTTGTGGTTTTTTTCCCCCACAACTCTCCACCTTTGTTTGTCCAACTACTTTAAGTGAACCTAATGGCCTGATGTCTTCGATGAGTTTATTTGTTTGCCCAAGTTTTGTCTTGGACCCAAATTGTTTGCCTAGTCTCGGACAATTTAGTTAAGAAAATTATCGTTTCGGCTGTCAAGTGTTGACTTGATTTTGCGTCCTCACATGTGTCCTGTGTCCTGACAAACTTTTCGGGCGTGGAAGGAAAAAGTTTATGGGTTGGAGACTCCTTGACAGGCAAAAATGCTGACAGGAAGGAAACAGAATCTTGAGTCGAGAATATGAAAGTTGGTTAATTGAATTGCATTCATTAGGGAATCACAAGAGCTTACCGTGTAAGTAAACACACAAAATAGATACTAAATAAATAAGTAATAAGCAAACAAAAGAGAAAATTAAACCTTGATTAGGAATATGCATTAGCTAAGTAAAGGCATCTAAATCATTAAATACTAGAGACTAAGCTTTAAACTAACTTTAACTAATAAACTTTCATCCTTTCTATCTGCTTACAGGATATACATACATATGTCTGCCACATAACATTACCACAAAATGGCCAACATCCTGTTGACGGAGGTAACTGAAACCAGCAAAAAAATGGCCAAATGGAAAAACTTCATCTGCAACTGGCAGCGTGGAAACTTTCTCAACTTCCACTTGATATGTTAAATCTGCGAAAATGCATCAACTTTACTAATTAAAAGGAAACTGTGGCCCCTTTTTTTTGCCAATTTCACGAAATAAGAGCCAACAGCCATGGGAAACTAGACGAGAATCGGTTAGCGGGGCTAAGTGCCACGCAAGCCATAACTTGTTAACGGTTTCACTTCAGGTAAGTTCATTAGCTGGCCAAACAGCAGAGAAGCCCCAGAAGCACCAACTGTGAGTCATCAATCAAATCAGCAAGCTGGCCAACCGACTGCGCCAATTCGGAAAGCGAATACAGCCTTCGAGTGAAAATTAAATGAAAATTAGAATGGGCCAACATACACGTACCGAGTGACAGGATGACAGGCGAGTGTGCCAGGTGAGTTGTGGATACCGGACGGTGGATTGGCGATGGGAAACCTGGACAATGCCCTAGGGCTAGGCGTTGTCACGTGACCGACGAGCTGGGCAATCAACGAATCAGGCAACCAATCAAGCGGCGTGTGACATGCAATTGAAGCGTATACGTGACCTTAGTGAGCCACCCACTTTACAGGCAGCCAACCACAGTGGTTCAAATGATTGTCTTGAGCTTCCATTAGTTTGCACTCCAGATTGATAGCCCAAGTGGTTTGGCCCTGATCTGAAAAGGTTTACTATTAAAAGATTTGTAAAGATACTATATCTAGCTATTTTCTTAAAACATTCTTAAATGTGGTTTAAACCACTCCCAACTCTAACCATAAACCTTTAATCCAGTGGCTGTATTTTGAAAGTGTCCCAGACTCTCTCATTGCATTATAAACTAACCGAACGTGCGTCTGTCAAAGTGCTAGTCCTGGCAAAGGACATGGTCCGCATACTGGCAGTACCTTCCAGCCCGCTTGTCAGGGCTTCTGACCAACTTCGACCGAACCTCCTGGCAGTTTAGTCCCAGCGACACGTCAATGCTTTCATCATTTAATTAACTGCTTCGTGCCGCACAAATGGCCAGGTAGCAGAAGTGGCAGGACTATGCTGTAGAGGATGCGTTCCTGCCGCATCTCACGTTTCCATTTGCAAGTAGCCTGGGAGGCATGGTAGATGGGATGTCCTTGGTGGCTCACTTTGCACGTCACACGTGATTGATCGGTCATCTGGGTGTTGAGGGAGCCAGTCGGGAAATTTGAATGTCACTTTCGCTTGGCCAGTTGTGAATTATAAGCCCGTTGGCAGACAGCTACAAATTAAGTTAATTCAATGAGTAGGCAAGCCAGGAAACTAATGACAGGTCAATGATAGTGTTTCCAAGAAGTTTATGGGCCTCCGTCACTATTCATAAAGGAAGGATAAATCTTATTAAACAACAAAGAGGCACAAATGTATAACAAATCAAAGCCTATATTTCCATTTATTTAAGCCCGAATTCTATACTTTTTCACCCTAAAACATAAACCTATAAGACCATTAAAGACTATCGCATTAAAAGATCAAATTGTGGGTAAATAATTTATGGTTTTTGTAAAAAAACAAGAAGAGTCCTCCCACCTCCTGGTATCTGTGTATCTCTGGTCTTGTTTTCGGATTGAAAGGAAAACCCAAAAGCGATATTTTTGTTGATTTATGCTTTTATTTTGTGCATTATTTTCGAGTTTATATTTAAAACATTAGACAACGTCAGCAGAGACACAAAAGAGATAAAAACTGTGAAAATAAAACTGCAACTGCGGCAACAAAAATTTCTGACAATTGTAGGTGGAATAGTGGATCCTGAATCCTGAACTCAACTGAAACGAGTGAGGGCAGATAAAAGGACTTTGGGCCAAAGGGCAGACAGACAAATAAAGCGGAAATGTTAACAGCAACGAATGGCGCCGGCGACAGTAAAAAAGGGTGGCTTTTGGGCAAGTTAGTGGAATGGTTGGTTCTGACTGAATTTTCCTCCCATTAGATTTTCATTTTGTATACGATTTCCGTTGAAGCACATGGGAAAAGCTTATACCAGCTCGACTCTTTTTCCAAGCCTGTATGCGTATAATTTATGTTTTCAATCTATTTTTTTGTTCTTTATCCTTGAATTTCAATTGACTGCCAGTCAGGATGTGAAATATTCAGTGGAACATTTAAAGAGGCAGGCAGGTGAGAAGTTTCTGTTACAATCTGTTGACATTAATGCCTTGGAGAGATGGAAAGAGCAACTGCCTCGTGCAGATGTTAAACAATTTTTTACCAAGATGCTCTCCCCAGCCTTGTGAATGGGAGCAGGACAACAAAAGGTCCTGTCGGCAAAGAATAGAATGCCAGTCAAGGGGGTCCGCAACAACACATTCCACTACAAATGTCAAGTAAATAGTTGTTTGCTCGACAATTGGCAACAGGCTGCCTAAGAAAGGGCTCCCCCTTCCGAGGCGAATTCCTACAGGACAATTCCCTCTTGCAGTTTTTGTTTTACTTCTTGATTGTTAAGTTCGTAAAGGAAAACTTTAAACGTTTTGCAGCAAAAGGATTTAGAAAGATATTACAATAAACAAAGGGCAACTCGTTTTGTAAATATTAAAAGGGTATTACGATTTGAAAGACTTTTTAAAGTACACTTCATGAAAACTTTTCAAAAATACTCTCCAAATTAGTAGGATATCCTTTTTTAAACTGTCAGAGGGATATGCTGGTTACTGTAATACCTTTATCAGGCCATATATATTGTATATCTCTGATAAATTGTCTGCTGGCTGCCAACCCGTCCACTCAGCTTTAATTTGCCTGTCATTTCGCATTGCCTGCAAGGGCTAAGCTGACATTTGGCCCCGTCAACTGCCACTCCCACAGCCACCACCCTTTTTTTTTTAGCCAAGCTGCGCACATTTTCTGAAATGTAAGCGAAAAAAGGGGAAAATACTTGCCCAGGTCGCAATCTCTGGGCGAAATGAGGAAAAAAATACAAAACGAGGAGGAGGCTGGACCTGCTTGGAATGAAACTAATTACGTGGACGACTTTACACGGAGATAAGACTTAAATCACCAAAATGAAATGAAATTTCTTTTCACAAAAACGCTTGGGACGGGTCGCTGGACGTGGGGAAATTTCAGCCTCAAAGTGTAACGTATATAACATCATTAGGCAAAAAGGCAACAACAAGACAAAAGTGTGAAAGCCAAGAACGCGACCACAAAGCGGGTTAATTACGCACAACAAACAATAAATTACTTGGCTCAGGAAAATGCAAAAGTCTGAAGCACAAAAAAAGAAGAAAACGGGCTAACAAAATGAAAGAAATTAGTGAAGGAGACCCTAATCAGCTTAGCGGGCGAAAGGATGATTAAATTTTCCTTTTCAGCTGCGAGTGTCAAAATCAAAGGAACATTACGTATACGCCATGTGTTGAGAGAAGCACATCTCTTTTATCCTTCTTTTCGCCTTTCAGCTGGCTACACAGTCCATCATAGTTTGGAATCTCTAGACTCTAGAGTCGAGAGCCACTCTCATTTTTTTTCAAACTTTTTTGTTTATCCTGAAAGCTTTGTTTTTATGAAAAAATACCCACACACACTAAGGCATAAAACAGAGTGCAAGAAGACAGACAAAAAGAAAATGGCGTCGGAATTTTTTAATTATAAAATGTGTTTATCCGGAATTAATTGTTATTTTTTTTTGCGCTTTTTTCATTTCAAAGCAGCTGCCCCGAAAAAAGTAATCCAACAAAAATAACTGTCTTTCCAGCCATCTTCTTTTTTTATCGCACAGTTCTCTTTGGTAAATTACTCGCATTTTAAGCTTTGACTTTTTGTCCTGTCCAGGGAAAAATAGAGAGAAAGAAAGATACGAAAGAAAGGAATTTATCCTCCAGAGGATTATCAACCATTTTCTCTGGCAGGAGTATTTTAGAAAATGGTGTTTATTTCAAAAATTCAAGCTGAAAGAGTTGTATATTTTATTGCAAAGATATCTTAAATTTTTCAAACCATTTTATAAACATCATTACCTTAGAGTCTTTGAGTTTTCAAGCAAAATGAATGACTGTTTCTAGTTTAGTCACAAGTTCGAATCCGTAGTGTATCATTTCAAACTTGTATTTTCCCAAATTAAATTCACCAATTTCTCGCCCAAGTACGTCTTCGAACTCCGATTGTTTCCCCCCAGCAGCGGTATGGCCCACAACGCATCAATTTTTCGCAAACTAAAAACCCCTCGAACGGATCTACCATCATTATACCGTCTGCAGCCGCAGCCTCAGGATGATATGGGACCGTCCAGGGAGAAGATCCCAAAGCTCAACAGCAGTCGCGACGCCTATCAACTGCGCCGGTGCAAGGCCATCAAGAATTTCGGAGTGGTGGAGGATCCTGCCAAAACATCGAAGGTGATCGTCCACGATCTCAATCAGATGGAGGTGGACCAGCACACCGAGCTCAAAAACGCCTCGAAGCACACATTTCGCACCATGGGAGGAGGAGGAGCTGCAACAGCCGCAGCAGTTTCCGCAACAACGGCAAGTGGATCCCAGAAATACCTAAGCAAGGTCAGTCTCACCAATCAAGCGTCCAAGACCACGCGATCGTCAATAGTTACGTCAAATGTCAAGAAGCAGCAGCATTCGCCGGACATGGAGTACAAGGACTCGAAGGTCATAAAGGAAGTTAAAGAAATTAAGGAATCGAAGGAAGCCAGGGAGCCCAAGGAGACCAAGCCCCACAAGGACAAGGAAGCCAAGTCGCCAAGGGGAAACCACAGCCATCGTTCTTCTCGTCCCTCAACCGCCAATCGCACCAAGACCTACTTTGACAAATACCTCAAGTTCGCCTTCGACCTGAGCACTCCGGAAGGTGTCAAGCAATTGGAGGACCACTTTTTCCCACACCCCATCCCGTTGACCAGAATACTACAGCCCCCAGTCAACAATCACGGTCGGCGGAGTCGAATGGTAACTAATTTGGAAAGGATCGAATGCTACTGATCGCGAGAAGAAATATGAGGGCGGCTAAATTAAATCGTATTTTGCTCATTGATGCTCGAAATGCAGCAAAACCCAACAAGCTCAATGAGACGATGCAGAAGTTAAATATAAATTGAAATAACCCGAACTTTTATTATTTTTGGCTAATAAATTATAACATAAATAGCCTGAATACACACACAAATCTTTATAAATCTATCTATCTTTTTTGATATAGAAATTTTCGTTTTTGAATAATGAACTTAAAGCTTGTTATACGAAAAAAAATGATACCCGAATAAAATGGAAAACAATTTTCTTTCTCATGAGAATTAATTTCATATTCCCCGAGAGCCTAATGAGCGTTAATAACACTTTAGCGACAAAAGGCCATTCGAATAGTGGGGAAACATTTTTATTTTGGTTTAAATGAAATTTATTGTTTGGTCCATGTACTGCCCTCTCCCACTCCCCATCTATGCAAATGTATTATGCTTTGTTCAACATAAATTCACGCACACATGTGCTTAAACCGCAGGCTCATTCAGCAAAAGCAACAAAAGCTGCGCACTGGGCATTGTAAATCATAATCAAAACAGTAGAACAAATGAACAAATGAAGCTAATGTGCCGCATGCAGGACAACTGCGCGGGAAAGTGGGAATGATATTTAAGCCTGGTCGTGACAAACCGTTCACTAAAATTTAAATGCAAAATGTTTGTTAAAGCTGTACGACGGGAACAAAAGATATTGATCGAATGATGTTGTACCAAATAAAATATTAATACATGAAATTATATAAAAACTAAACATTAAAATTAAGTCTTCATTAAATTAATAAAGATTTTTATAAACACATGTTTCTTTACAAAAAAAAGGCAAGTATTTACAAATTATTCTATATTTCCATTTTTCTTAGCATATTTTCATGGCTCTCCCCGAATAAAAACTATTGTCCATGGCCGGCAGACCATTGCATTGTTTATGTGCCACCAGTGCCCATGCATATTTTATTCAATTAATTTCGCTCAATCAGTAAAGAAACATAATAAAATCGCTCGCAACAATGCTGCGTAATTAGAGCGAATTGATTTATGTGACTGCTGGCGCATTGATATTAAGGATCCCAATCGTTTCACCCTCGGGCTCACCAATAAAACGTGCTTAATGAAATGCAAACAGTGACAGAAACAGAAGAGCTGAACAAAAAAAGTGCATTTGATTTAATTTTTTGTGAATGATTATCTGCAACGCTGTATGTAGCTGGTTGACATCGGGTCAGATCTACGTTTTTCAAGCATTTGGTCCCCTTCAACCAGCTGTAGCAGTGGTTGATGACAACAAAGTACAAGTGAAAAGTGATTTATTCGAAAATATGCAATAAATATAATCAAGTCTTTAAATATGGTCATTTAATCTTAAGTCTCTTGCTTACTTAGCCAAAAGCATCTAACTAGTTAGTCGGTTTATCTTGTTAAACATTTCCCAAATTATATTCAGAGAAATGCACTTTGCATCTAAAACCTGACTAAACAAGCTAAACAATATTTCGATTGTGCTGACAATTTGATGAAATTCGGAAACTCAAATAACTCATTTTGACGTCGAATGCATTAAGGCTAAGAGCATTAAGTATTTACTGGCTAAATACACTACCATCTGGCTGCAAAACGAAAGTGTGTGTAGGTTGTGCACATTGTATTATATGCAAATATTTGAGGTAATTTCTGGCATTGCCAAATACTATGTACATGTACTTGACGCAAGTAAATCAAACATTTTGCATAATTCAATGGAATTTTACTTGCCCCAGATCCTTATCCGAAGCATTGATTTGTGTCCAGCTTCCAGAATGAAATGAATTTAATTAATTTTATAGCCAAAAGGGGTGACGGAACGAGGGCATCGTTTTGAATGGTCACTCACTCAATTAATTAACAAGCTTCGTTGGCATTTGCACTCTAATCAACTCGGCCATTCAGTTAACTCCGAAAATCAAGTGATATGCAAATACACAAAGCTCTTCGACGCCGGACAATAATTAATTAAAATTCAACCAAGATAGCCAGTATCAGATGGAATTTAATTCAAGGGGAAAAATTTATGTAGAAAAAAAAAAATATAGTATTTTGTTAACCAATATTCTAATTGTCGCCTTCATTAAGTGTCTTATTTTTAATTGATGAATAAAAAGAGAGAAAAATTCTGGCACCAAACTTCATCAAAGACAACTTTGGCAACTGCGTCCATAAATTATTCAATTATGCGCAGCCCCAACGAATCGGATCGAAACGAATCGAATTGAATCGCTTCGAATGGAATCGAATCGAATCGGTCCGAACGCAACTCAACTGAATTGAAAGTTCAAATTGCATTGAATTTTAAAATGGTCAGACCTTAATGAAGGCCCTGCGAAATGGAGCGGAAGTTAAAAACCAAAAGAAAAAAACAAATTGAAACGCAGTCAAAAATTCACTCCCACACCCCCTTTTTTTTGGTGCCATGCAAGTGAAATTCAATTTAATGTAGATTTACATGCAACCGATGTCGAGCAGCAGTTTTTCCTTATTTCTCTTTGTATTTTTCAATGAAAACGCTTGACAAATCACCGCACAATGGGATGGGGTGGAGGATTGGGTGGGCTGGATTAAAGGTGGGAGGTGGGTTGGTGCCTGCGGCCGTGTCATGAAATGAAATCGACATGAAACCAACGTGACCAACGTCATTAATTATCGCCGGCAATTCTGTGCCCTGCTAATTACGACATGACCTGGACCCCGGACTTTTGGTTCCGCACTGCTCCCGGGAAATGAGATGAAAGGTGAGAGATGAGTGATGAGGGAGGGATGAAAGGGTAATGGAGAGTGGGTGGTGCACAAAATCGTTGGCAACATGATGGCGCACATTTTACATTTTGGCCAAGAATGAAAAGTGTGTGCGGTGGGCCGCAAATAACATTTAATGGGAAAAAATCGCAGTACTTATTTCGACTGAAGGGGAAAATAAAAATTAAAGCCAGAACTACCTTTCGGTATATACCTGATCAGGTATAAATTATTGACTTTTCTGTAAAACAAACAGGAGTAAGAAACTCTTATATGAAAGAGTTTTGATTCATAAATCAAAAAAATATCTTTTTCCGCTTAAAACTCGCATAGAAAAAGTATAACAATAAGACCTTTGTGAAGCCAATGACTGATGTTTTCTGTGCTTGCCACCAATTCATTTGGCACTGCATTGTGAAAATTCAACAAAGTGGATTGCGAAGAAGTTTCATGAATCCAATGAAGCACCAGCACAGATAAAAAGTACGAGTACCAAGATGATGAAGAGCTTCTGACCGCAACCATTCAGTTGGCCATTTTGCAAACAAGTCGCTGTAAAAGATAAGTCCCGCCAACTACAAAACTTAAGCCACTGAAGCGTAAGATACACACAACAGCCAAAGGAGGAGTGTCCGCAGGACGAGCAAGTCAAGTCTTCGGAAAAGGCTAAGAAGATATTCTGCAAATAGAAAGGTTATAAGTTGCAGGAACTAAACTATTTAATAAGAAACCTTTATAATATTTTCCAATAGATTTATTAAACTAAATACAAGTTTTAAAAAATATGTGTTAGGAAAACCATTATCCTGAAAAGCTTGCGGAAATGTTTGATAAATAACAACAAATGCAAGTGGGACTGCGACCAAACCCATTGGAATTCAACTTTCATTTTGACTTTGACACTCATAGCGGCCAGAAGACCACAGCGCAATGGCTCAAAGGACAAAGGACATGCCCGAGAGTTGCTTCGCTGCAAAATCAGCAAACGAAGACGAATGTTGGATGCCTGTGGTGGATTATTTTCGGTGTGGTGCCGGATGGTTCTGCGGTTGTGTCAATATGACGACAATAGGATTTGCCACGATAAGCTTCTTGGTGCTCCTTGATGTTGTGCCACAGTGCCATCGAGGGGTGAGAGACGGGACTGCTGTGACCAACTGCTCTGACGTCTGAAGAGTTGGCTGATAAATGAAATTCGCAAAATAAATGCATTGAAGTGAGCTTAACTCAGACAAGTCCGTCGGGGCTTTATATCCACCCCGAAAGTTTATTTTCCCCTTTGTCGATTGCCAACGTCAGCAGTTCATAAATATTTTGCCTCATTTTGCCGAGTATTATTTTATGCCCACTTGTCAAAGCAAAGTGGAACACAATCCATACAATCCAAACCAAAAGAGTGTTGTTGGCTTTTATCTTAAGGCCGAAAAAGAAAAATACTTAAAGAGTCTATCAAGGATATTTGAGCCAAAGATTTAAAGGCTAGTTTTACGTTTTACGTGTAGAATCCTAATAAGTATTCAAGTCAAGTAAGACAAACTATTAAGTTAACACGCAGTTACATTTATGGCTCACACCTGCCCCTGCATGGCCCATTAAAATAAATGCACTTTGGTGATTCTCAGTCATACAATTAACGTTGTTTTGTCACTGGAAACAGTCGTATTAATTGAAGTGCCCCATAAAATATTTCCCATTTAATGGTGAGAGTTTTAAATAATTTTAAATGAACCGAATACTGCCATTCCCGAGAGCCATTAAAGATATAATAAGTGGATGTAATTTATGGATGCAGTTTTTTAAACCGCAAAATAAACATAAAAAAGGCTAAAGGGGCATTTTCCCATTTAAATGAAATGCCAGTTGATTTTATTCAATTTTTTTTTTTTTGCAAATCTGGAGCAAATAACTCATGCAAAGGACTTTGAAGGCTAAAATCTCTGCAGGTGGATGCTGGAGGATTTAAGAGGCCTGCCTAATATGCCCATATATCTTCTGCTGACATAACTTTTTATACCCAAAAAAAAAAGAAACGAGAAAAAGGACTAAAAGGACTAAGCGTGAGATGAGTGCGAGTCCCTGTCGCTGTCGCTTTGCTGTCGTCGTCCTTGCGGGGGGTGACCTGCTAAATGGACGGAAGGGAGCGGTAGATGCCGGAAATACGCTTCACGTTTTACTGAATTTGAAAATTTGAAAATTATTCATGAGCATGTGGAAATTAAATTCAGGTCCACACAAAAGAGATTTATTTGCCAGCCTTTCGGAGGACTACCTTCCCATTCCCATCAGTCTCTAGCCCCCTTCTCTGGCGTCCTTTTCTATTTGTCTCTTTTCTGGGCTATGCAATGAAATGAAATAATATAAAAAAAGGCATCCAGGAACAGGCCAAGCGG